CAATAAGGACAAATGCAAAATACTACACTTAGGAAGTAATAATAAAATGCACAAATCAGAATGAGAAATGGTTGCCTAGGAATGTGTACTGCAGACAGGGATCTGGGAGATATAGTAGATCACAAACTAAATGTGAGTCAACAATGTAACACTGTTTCAGAAAAAGCAAACATCATTCAAGGATGTATTAGCAGGAGTGTTGTAAGCAAGCCATAGAAAGTAATTCTTCTACTTTACTCAGAATTGATAAAGCCTTAACTGGACTACTGTGTCCAAGTCGGAGCATCACCCTCCAGGAAAGATGTAGACAATCTGGAAAAAGTCCTGAGGAGAGCAACAAAAATGAAAAAGATTGTGGAATCTTTATTAATGGAAGTTTTTAAAGAACTTAGATAAATACCTGTCAGAAATGGTGTAGATAATACTTAGTACTGTCTCAGTGTAGGCGACTGGACTAGATGAACTATCAAGGTTCCTTCCAGTGCTCCATTTCTATAATTCTGCGTGTGTAAATATACACATATGGAGAGCCCAGTTAACCGCTAACTTGAAGTCCCAGTGCATATACACGTGCTTAACTGTTTGCAGGACTGGGAGACTTATACCACAATACAGAGTCTCATAAACAAGCATACATTGTCTGTACTACTTTTTCTTATTTTGTAACTTACTCATCCTAACAAAAAGCGTTCATATCCAATAAAGAGTGTAATTTTATTGAGCTATATATTTTTGTCAGTTTTCACATTGTAATTGTTAGTAATTTGCTAATCTGATTATATTTAGTGTCCTTGATTTTCCTTTTCTTTTCATACAATATATATATCCCCATTAAAAGGGGAAAAAAACTTATTAATTTGAAAGAGCCAAATGTTCCCTGGCTTGTGTCAAAGAAATTAATATTTTGTTCTCAGAAATTAGCAAAAACAAAACAAACAAAAAACCAGCAACCTGTTTTTCAGCCATCACTCCCCCTTTACCATCCAATTAAAAAAAGACGGGTAAACATTTTTCCTCCAATAAATATACTGAAGTATGTCCATGATTCAGCAAAGCGCTTAAGCATGATTAGCTTTTATGCATGTTTTTCTGTTCCATTAACTTCAATCAGACTTAAGTACATGCTTAAAGGAAGCACATGTATATAAGTGCTTTTCTGAATCAGTGTCTGTACTCTTCCAGTCCAAAAAAACAGAGGGAAGATGGATTGAAGCCAAATTCAACAGATTAATCTGAATTGCATGTAATGTACTGAGCCATTATGTTCCCAACAAAGTAGATCCCTTGTCCTTTGCCACTATAGCTGAAAATATAACTTCATTGCTTGTTATGACACAGAATATTGGTGGAAATTTTTATATATTTCTTAGCCCTATCCTTGATAGTCTGTTTTAAACCCAATTTTCTCTTTTTCTTTCCCAGCTATCCTTGTCACCTTCACTTCAGGAACTAAGCATATTGATTCAAAGATGGTTACTTAATGCCATTAAGGTTTCACTTTTTCCTTTTCTCATCACCACATCTTCCAGAAGATTTCCCTTTTTACTCTGAAAAATAATTGCTGAAAAAATATATTAGATGCCTCTATTAGACATATTAGCTTATCAAGCCATACACACATTTTGAAAATTCCATGCATACCATCTTGATTTAACAGGAATTTGTGCTATTTTCCTCCCCTTTGGAATTAAATCAGGGTAGGGATGTGAGGGAAGAGGAAGAATATAGTCAAGATATTTGCATTGTCTTTCTACTGGCAAGCAAGTCTCTTAAAATAAGCAGATAAAAAAGTCAATATTGATGGTAAATATTTGTGTTTGTCAAAAATTGTTTGAAATCTAGTGTGGCCATGAATTTCTTAAATACGTTTTTTAAAGTAAACTTCTACCAAAAGAGTTAGAATTATAAACCCAAAAAGGGTCTTATTTAACTGTGAAAAAGAAAACAGAAAACTAGTTTTGGATATGAAATCTAATTGTTTAAAATGTTCCAGACTCCAGCTCTGTTGACCTTTAGAAGTGGTAAACAATAGAAATGTAATGACTCATGTGACTGTTTTTAGTAAGTAATGACATTTTTAAAGAAGGATTGTCTTCATCTAACAACACTTGGTTTCCTAAAGCCTCTTTCTAGGATTCACAGCAATTCATATGTGAAAAGGATTCTGAGAAATGGTCTTGTATCTTCAGCCAACCAATGTTTCAACTCCTATTTCTGCTTCCATGTTTTAAGAATGAAGGGAGGAGTGGCATTCAGAATGCCATACTTTTTGCAAACTTTATAAGAATAGCTGGCTGTGTAACTTGCAACAAAGATTTTATTTGGCAAAATTTAAGCTTTTTTTCTTGTTTGTGAATTGTCTGCAATCAAACAAGTGGCTGTGACATATTAATTTACTCACTCTTCATAGTCATAGAAATGTTTTGTGCAAACAAATCTCATCTTGTGGATTGATTGCAAACTGATTTATGAAGAGCTGAACACTCAGAATTACAGATGAAGTCAATGAGATATACAGATGCTCCACATTTCTGACAATCAGGCCCCAATTCATAAAAGCACAAAAAATTCTTCATTTTACCAATCCAGTAGAGCACTACATTTACCCACTTCCATCTAGCCCTTTCATCAAATGAATACTCCTCACCCTTTCTCTCTGAAGAGCAGAGAAGGAACTGGAGGAAGGTTAGGGACTAGAAGTATTGACAATATAAATACCAAGATATCTGTGCTTCATGGGGATGTGTGGCTTTGCCACATATTGTTAATGAAGTATCCACAATGTGGTGAGTGAGATCCAAAACATAAAAGGAAGAGATTGTAATCTAAACCCCTGATTTTACAAGCATTTATGCATGTGCTTAGCTTTAAGCATGTGAATAGTCCTTATAACAACTCACTTCACGGGAATCTATGCAAGTGCAGTACTCTGCCTGGCTGGAGTCAGTTGAAAGACTGGGGCCTCAGAGGCAGAGTGGAATACAACAGGTCACTCTAAGGAGCCTCCAGGAGTAATTTGAAGTATTGCTAAAGTCTGAATATGAGTAATCTCAAACCAGAGAAGAGTAAAAGAATCTGCATGAAATATCCCTATTTTAATTATGTAAAATAAAATTGCAAATTTTGAAATCTTTTTCTACTCAGTCTGAGTTGGTCTTGAGGATGTACATGTATGTAAAAGACTAAAGCAAGTCAAAATTGTCAAATACTTTTTTTGAACAAAATGCGCTTTTTATTTGTATTATGTGTTTTTGAACACATTTTACTTTTTTATTCTTCAAATTTTCTATTCCCCCCCCCCCCCCCA